GGCCAAGCCTAAAATAGCTCCCGTAAAAAAATTACGAGAGCTCTTTTTTTCATACAATATCAAAAAATGATTAGATAATACCGGGCATCCCCGACCAATCAGCAATCGCGTAATAAAATATGATAATTTATAGGAATAATGGGCGGTCTTCAGAGACCGCTGATCTTTGAAATCGACTTGCGGACTTGTTCCGATTTACTACGCATCAGTGTACAGGGTTCTCCAAGAGCACTTATACTAGCCTGGCGGCGCGCCAGGCTATCGTCGAGCCCTGCCATCCTAAAATGCACCCGCCACTCTAAATATCATAGCCGTCATGCTAAATATCATAGCCCCCGGACCCCTCTAGCACGCAAACTGCCTTCGATTTGCAACTAGGACCGTAAAGGCAGCACCCGCCATGCTATAATGAAAAAGCTTGGAGAACCCTGGTGTATCAAAACGAGTAAAAAATATAATTTTTAAGAATACCTTAGAATGCACATCACCAAATTGCACCATCCCCCCCCCCATATAAAAACGTCCTCACATCTGAGTCATTCACTTTGCTACGACAAAAATCCTGGACCAGTGCCTACTGACCAGGACCAGTGCTTCCTCAGAGGCACTGGTCCTACTGGACCAGTACCTCCAATTATCAGTTTTTCACCCTGAACTAATGAAATCAATATTAAATTGGGCATAAACTAAAATCACAGCATTCTTGTGTATTATTTCAGCACACTGTCCCCATAAACTAGCAACCGTATGTCTATTTTATTTAAACTTTGCTGTTTGATAAGATTCAGTGTACCTGTATACCCCCATAGCTGTCAGATGTCACATGCTGCTTGTACCCTCACAGTCGATCGTGGAATTCACCACATTTATACCAATGAAAACTACAACTTATTATTCCTAGTTTCACTCTGAAAGAGCGCAATCTTTTGACAATGGAGGCAAAACGACAGAAGGTGACGGTATTATGTGCAGTTGAGACTCTTTATTCTGGTGTCACGTTAAATAGTGCGATCTGGGAAATAGCGAGATAGTCTCCCTATTTTCCGGCCAAGCTGTGGTAAATAGTGCGATCTGGGAAATACTGCTAAGTCGTTACGTTGCTTACAATTACATCGCATTATTTCCCAGAACTACAACGCCCCCTGCATGCAATCAGATGAATGAACACAAACAATAGACAAACAATAGGCTATCTCCCTATTTCCCTGATCGCACTATTTACCATGCAGCACCCTTGCTACCAAACTCCACGACAGATGGCGCTCTCGCTCTGGCTCAATTTACCACTGCCACAAGTAGATTGCCGTGAGAATTTCTAACGCTTTTTTACCACAAGTTTTACAGTGGCCAGGTTACTCATATCCTATGCAATATGATTTGTACTAATAAAAGTTGCAAAGATATTAAAAATCCAACCATTATTTTATGAAAAATTTGATAGAATAGTGATACGAAATAGTGTGCGAATTGTGTGCCCATTTCCTACTTTCAAATCATACGCGGCTATTGGATTGCCATTTGCCTGATTAACCCGGAGCTCCACCCACTTGAAAAATAGTACCAGCCTTGTGGCAGTGGTATCCTGAGTTGTACGAAGGGGGTGCTGCATGCAGTTTGGACACGTGCTGGATCACAGTTTTTCCCCTGAGAACACCTGAAGCTAAACATAAGTCTAAACCCATTTACCTGACACAGACAAGTCATATACACACCTATTGCTAGGCAATAATAGTGTTTATAAATACATAATAAAATAACATAAATACGTATAACTATAAATACATATAATAATAGGGTATTTAATATACATATCTAGGTACTCTAGTGCTAGAAACAGGTACATATTTGAATGCTAACAGTGAAGTTTTTTATTGATTTGTGTAGATGTTAAGCTTTTTTTTTAAATGGATGGAAAAAATGTTCGATACCCCCGGAGTTTGCCAAATCACAAACTGACAGTCAAACTAAAAAAGTTTCAACTGTGCCACTTTTGATGGTTGTATTCTTGAGTAGCGATTTCTCAAAAAGTTATTTGGGGCACAAAAATAGCAATACACAGAGCCAGCGTGTTACCGTCCCGATAATCTCTCGTCTTGTGTGCAGATGGGGTTAGATAGAGGTCGGTGGAGTCGTGATAAGTGGTACATCAATTTCCCCCCTTTTGACGCGGTAGACCCATCAAAACTTTTGTTAAAAGCTTACTGTCAATGACACAACTGACATCATGATTAACTAGGAAGCTGGCCGTGAAGTTTGGAGTGATATCTGTTGTTCCCGACTCAAGGAAGCATCATGCCCACCTTGGTCAACGTAGTAGTAGTAGTAGTAGCGCAACACAAGTTAAATAAACAAAAGTCAACAAAAGTCAACCGGCGGAGTGGCAGAAATTGTCATGTGCCATTTGCTGTGCGTCATCGCAGAATGTGATTTTAAAATACGGAAAGCAGTAGTGTATTCTGTGTTTTATTGAATTTTCCATTATATTTTCAGGGAGTTACACAGACTCCTCTTGTGAAGTTGGGCAGTAAAACGAGGAGTGATTGACTCCTGGCTCGCTTTGATTTCACCCCTTGAAGCTAGAGTCAAGCCATATTTATGGTTATTAGTACTGATTGTGATATATAACATCTAAAGAGGCAATCTAAAAGCCGCGTAGTACAGTTGCATTGTATATAAAATGCAATTTCACCTCCATATTTAAGCCAATAATTATTCTTTCTAAGCCACGTTCAAAATGCAGAGTAAGTGCATAAAAAAATCGTCCTAAAAAGCAGCATAAATTATTCATACATTGCTGTGTGATTATTTCTAGAGGGAAATGGGGTACGGTAAGGTAATAATTTAAACAATCAGTAGTAGTAATAAGCGGTTAGTGCGTAAACAATAACCGACACAAGCGTGCGTAGTAAATCCGATGGTATCGATATTGTCGCCGGCGCTCGCGAATCCGCGCATCCGCGCGCGATCGACCGTCGCACCCCGTAAATACTTGATAACCCGCCTGCTCAAATATGAATGCCTACATTCATAACTATTGCTACATTCATAATCAGTGTTTCCCCTGCATTGCAATTCTCAGCCGCCACACAGAAAAGTGTCCAAAACACCGCCTTGCTGACGAAACTTTTGACAACTTGAAAAAGAGTCATACAATGTGTGCAGAATAGCTTAGAATGCACCAAATTGCACCATTTTTTCAAAAAATTTCCCCGGACCCCCTTAGCTGGCCAAGCACATGCACTGCTCACTTTGCTAGGACCTCAAAACACGCAAACACACCACACAAATATTTACAGCCTCACAGACCTTTCTGGCCAATGGAAACACTGATAATGATTGCTACATTCGGCGCATCCGTATTGTTTCAGTTCATTTCCGACTACCTCCCCGATGGGCCTCCTGTGACGCGCGCGCGGGACTCGCACGGGGAGAGGCGTCATGGCCGCCGTGTCGGGCGCCGCGACGCGCGACGGCAAGTCACACCGCATCATCGCGCTGCAAGTATCTGGTCTACAGACGCTCACGACGACAACGACAACCGCCGTCGCAGCGTCGCGATCCAAGATTGTCGCCGTCAAGGTCGATTCGAACTCGCGCGGCGACGGTGGCGGCTCCCAGGTGGCGCTGCAGGTGTCCGGACTGCAGACGCTGACGACGACGACGACCGCTGCTGCCGCCACCGCCGGGTCGCGATCCAAGATTGTCGCCGTCAAGGTCGATTCGAAATCGCGCGGCGGCGGCGGCGGCGGCTCCCAGGTGGCACTGCAGGTGTCCGGACTGCAGACGCTGACGACGACGGCCGCCGCCGCTCCGCGATCCAAGATTGTCGCCGTTAAGGTCGAGCCGAACTCTCGCGACGGCGGAGGCTCCCAGGTGGCGCTGGTGCGCGTGATACGGCAGGAGCGCGTCGCGTCGCTGCCGCCTGACGTCGTGCCCTACCAGTGCAACGTGTGCGGCATCGCCTACCTGCAGTGCGATCAGCTAGCCGCGCACGTGAAGGAGCACGTCATGGCACTGCGCACGCCGTATGTGTGCGCCGTGTGCGCGCTGCCCTTCCGGCTGCCCGCCGAGTGCGCGCGCCACTACCGCACGTGCCACATCGCCAACGCCGCCTCCGTCGCCGCCGCGCGCGCGCACACCGTCCTCAAGGTGGAGCCGGCGTCGAAGGCCGCCGAGACGGACGCGAGAACCGTTCTGAAGGTGGCGCCGCCGTTGCGCGGGAAGGCGGAGAAAAACGCGAGCGCTGCTCACACGGTGCTGAAGGTGGCGCCAGCGTTGCGCGAGAAGGCGGAGAAAAACGTGAACACGGTGCTGAAGGTGGCGACGGCGGCGGCATTGCGCGGCATCGCTGGCGCCGGCAAAGACTCTGCCGTCCTCACGCAGCTCAAGGTGGCGCCACCGGTCCAGGGCAACGGCGTGACGGAACCCGCGGATCCCCCATCGAAGAAACGCGACTCGCCGCCGCCGACAGGGGGCGCCGGCGAGGCGACGAAGCCGCCGAACGGACCCGAGTTGGACGCCGCCGCGGAGACGGAGGAGGGCGGCAGGGACAGGTGCTGCCACTGCGGGAAGGCGTTCGCGGACGCGGTGCGGCGGATGCGGCACGAGCGGCTCGTGCACAACGCGCAGAAGTTGTCGTCGTGCCGCTACTGCGGCCGCATGTTCAACCATAGCGGGCACCGCAACGAGCACGAGCGCCTGCACACGGGCCAGCTTCCGTTCACGTGCCACGACTGCTGCAAGGGCTTCGTCAACCGCTCGAAGCTGCGCCAGCACCAGGCCAAGGGCTGCCTCGAGCAGAGCGCGGCGGACGCCGGTAGTGACGGCCACCAGAGGGTGCTAACGGGCGACGAGCGGCGGCGCGCGTCCGGTCACGTTCGAGTGAAGCACGAGCCGGCGTCAGACGGCGAGGACGCGCCGGCAGGGGGCGCCGGCGGGTGTGTTAAAACAGTGCGCGTTAAACTTGAACCGGACGAGGAGGAGGGAGGAGGGCGAGGGTTCATGCACGGTGCATCGTCCGTGCCACTGCTGGTGAGCGGCGGGAGCGTGAAGCGAGCGGCGGCGGGCGGGTACCGGCCCGGGCCGCGGTCCGCTAGGATCCGAGCGGCAGCCCGCAGGGCCGCCCGGGCCGCCGCCAAGCTTAACGCATGTGTTACGCAGACTACTGCCTGCCAGGAGGGCGGCGTGCGGAAGGGAGAAATCCCTAGGGCCTCCCAGGAGACTAGTGTTGGGAAGGGAGAAGTCCCTGCTGCCTCCCAGGAGACTAGTGTGGGGAAGGGAGAGGTCCCTACTGCAGCCTGCAATAACGAGTCCAGTGGGGAAAAGAAAGAGGTGTCTGGAGCGTGCGAAGAGTCGAGTGTGGAGAAGGGAGAAATCCCTGCAGTGTGCCACTGGGAGAATAGCGAGAAGAAGGAGGGAGAGGTCTCTCTAGTGTGCCAGGAGACGAGTGAGGAGGAAGGCGAAATGCCTGAGATCTGCAAAGAGTCCAGCGAGGTGAAGAGAGAGACGCCAGCAGCCGCCCAGAAGGAAGACAGTGAGGAGGAGGGGGAGATGCCTCCAGCCCTCGAGCCTGAGGCTCCCCGTGAGAAGCGAGAGGTAATCGATGCGGGTGACTCCCACAGTGAGAAGGCAGATGTTGGCGCAGCCTGCCGTGACACTAGTGAGGTGAAGCCAGGAATCACACCAGTGCGCAGAAAGTCCAAAATGAAGTTAACTCCATCCCGTAGTAATGTCTGCAGTGAGAATAAGAGAGATAGCACTACAGCCTGTCAGACCCCCAGTAAAACTAAAAGGAAGAAAGAAGTGATCGGTGACTATCCGGTTCCCAGTCAGAAAGAGGGGGAGAAGATTGTAGCCAGTCAGGCCCTCAGTCAAAACGACGAAGGGAAGATTCTAACCAGTCATGTCCCCAGTCAGAATGAGAAAGAGGTGAAAGAGAGCCTGGAAGTGGGTACCCCTTTTCCACCGGTCACAAACGAGGAAAATGGGCTGGCAATCACCGCATCCTCCCTCCCTCTAAACCAGACGAGCGAAACGAAAGAAGGGAAATTGCCTGCCTGCTCCCTTCCGCCCAGCCAGGGCATGAAGAGGAGGTCGTCGACTTCGCCCGCCTCCCTCAAGCGCGAGGGAGTCAAGATGAAGAGAGGCTCAGATACCATCTGTGATAAATTCGGTGCTTCAGCTGGCCTCGCCGGCGGCGGCGAATCGCGCACGGCTGCGCCCCGCCACGCCTCGCCACCGTCCACGTCCAATGAAACTTGCTCACGGCCCTCCGCCGACGGTCGCGCGGCCGACAGATCCACGAACGCAAACCCGGCCAAACGATCGCCCGTCGGCGGGCAGACGAAACGCCAGAGGGTTGTCGCCGCAGCGACGGCGAAGCGGGGCAAGGTCGCCAAGCGCCGGGCGGCGGCGGCGAAGAAAGGAGCCGGCAAGCGGCGTCGCCGCGCCGCGCCGGTGGCGCCCCCGCGCGGTAGCGACGAGGGGGCGAGCGGGAGCGAGGGGTCGTCGTCGTTGCGGGGCCGGTCGTCGTGTGCGTGCCGCTACTGCGGCCGCGCGTTCAAGCACAGCGGGCACCGCAACGAGCATGAGCGCCTGCACACGGGCCAGCTGCCGTACAAGTGCGACCTTTGCGACAAGGCCTTCGTCAACCCCTCCAAGCTCAAGTACCACCATGCCAATGCACACCGCGCCGCAGCCAAGGAGGGCGCCGCTGCAGCCAAGGAAGGCACCACCGCTGCCAAGAAGGGCTCCGCCGCACGCAAGGGCGCTCGTTCCTCGAAGAAAGCCGCGCGAAAACGCGTGCGGGGGAAGCGCGGCACCGTCGCCGCTGCCGCCTCCCACGTCGAAAACTCCGTAGAGGTGGCGCCGCCGGTCGACGCAAACTCCCTGGAGGTGGCGCCACCAGTCGACGCAAACTCCCTCCAGTTGGCGCCACCGGTCGTCGCAAACTCCCTGGAGGTGGCACCACCGGTCGTCGCAAACTCCCTGGAGGTGGCACCACCGGTGGTCGCAAACTCCCTGGAGGTGGCACCACTGGACAACACAAATTCCCTGGAGGTGGCGCTGCCGATGGACGCAAACTCCCTGCAGGTGGCTCCACCAGTCGACTCGAAGGACGGAAGACGCGTTGTCGACGTAAATGAGAACAACGAGCCGGCGGCGGTGAAGAAGAAGCGGCGCCCCCTGGCGGCGGACCGCGCACGCAAGCACGTGTGCGCGACGTGCGGCAAGGGCTTCAAGCGCGCGGGCCACCTGGACGACCACGCGCTCACACACAGCGACGACCGTCAGCGCCCGCACCGGTGCGTGCTGTGCAGCGCCGCGTTTCTGCGGCCCGCGCACCTCGTGAGCCACATGAACACGCACGCGGGCGAGCACGCGTGCGCCGTCTGTCGTCTCCCGTTCTCCTCCGTGAAGACCCTGAAGATGCACGTGAGCAAGAGCCACCCCAGTGAGGAGGAGGTGGAGGGAGGCGGGGAGAAGGAGGACGGGGGGGAAGGGGAGACTCAGAGCGCGGCGGCGCGCGACGACGACCACGGCACGACGACAGGTGGCGCCGTCGGCGCTTGCGACGTCATCTTCGAGAACGGAGACTCGCTGTCCGCGAACGGCCACGACGGCCACGCTGCGTTCGGCCGCGAGATGTGCGGCGCCCTCTACGGGAGCGGCGAGGAATTAGCGCTGCACGCGCGCTCGCCGGCGCCCCCTGGCGGCGACGGGAGGAAGCATCGGTGCGAGGTGTGCGGGAAGTCGTTTGTGCGCGCCGGGCACCTCCGCGACCACGTCGCGCTGTGCCACACGGGCGAGACACCTTACCGCTGCGCCATCTGCGGGGCCGGGTTCGCGCGCAAGCACCGGCTGCGGGCACACCACGACCAGACACACGATGACGGCGGGGAGGACTGCGGCGTCGCGTGCGGAGTCTGCGGAGTGCCGTTCGTTAGCAAGGACGAGCTCGGCGAGCATCTGAAGAAGAAGCTGTGCGGCGAGGGGTAGGTGGCGCCGGCGAGTGGTAGGTGGCGCCGGCGAGACGTAGGTGCCGCCGGCGAGGGTTAGGTGGCGCTGGCAAAGGGGGAGGTGGCGCTGGCGAGGGGTAGGTGGCGCTGCTGGAGACGGTCGCCAGCAACGGTGCAGTAGGAGGTCCGGTTGCGTGTTGATGGGAAATGGCAGGTGAAACAACAAGAGTTTAGTGGTGAGAGTGGGAGGGATGCTGATTGCAATGGTCATAATGAAGTAGGTGAAAGGGAGAGTGATGATGAGTAGGGGAGAGAGGATGAAAGAAAGGAAGGTAAGGGTGAAAGAGAGAGACACAGAGAGAGAATGAGAGAAAGCAAGAGAGAGAGAGAGTGAGAGAAAGCGAGAGAGAGAGAGAGCGAGAGAGAGAGCGAGAGAGAGAGAGAGAGAGAGAGAGAGAGAGAGAGAGAGAGAGAGAGAGAGAGAGAGAGAGAGACAGGAAGAAGCGCGTGTAAGTTTACATCGTCGCCAG